AAGGGAACTACCAATTGAATTGGTTAGAGTCTCAAACATCTCAATTCCCAAAAAATGGTGTGCAGAAGAGAGGACAGGAGATGCACTGTCACTAGAAAATTAGAGCCCGGGCACCTGGGTGGCTCAGTTGGTTAAGCGACTGCCTTCGGCTCAGGTCATGATCCTGGAGTCCCTGGATCGAGTCCCGCATCGGACTCCCTGCTCAGCAGGGAGTCTGCTTCTCCCTCTGATCCTCCCCCCTCTCATGTGCTCTCTCTCTCTCTCATTCTCTCTGTCTCAAATAAATAAATAAAATCTTAAAAAAAAAAAAAAGAAAATTAGAGCCCAACCCCATTTTTAATGAATGATCTGGCTTGATGTTTGGTGTGATAGCGTGAGAGTTGGTCCTCAAGAAACAGCACCACTCTGACTAAAGTGAAAAAGATCTAGTCTTCAAATTTTTGAAGTCAACATCCCATGCCAGATTATGGGAACTTCACCAGTGACCTCAGGGGTCCTGCTGGAGGCAGCCAGGCCATCGCTGACATGTCTCTTTACATAACCATGCACGTGATTAATATGTTTACTCTTAGAGATTGGGTAAAATGGTTAAGATTCCGGGAGGCAATTTGTGTATCGAATTATCTAATATGCATATATTTTAACCTAGAAACGCATTCCTAAGATTTTACCCTAGAGAGATAAAGTCATGAGTGTGAATATATTTATGCACAAAAAAATTCATAATAGCAAAATTCTCATCAAGGCAAATGGATCAGTAAATTATAATACACATATACAATGGGACACTGTGCTGCTTTTTATTTTTTTTTAATTTTACCTATTGTGCTGCTTTTTAAAAATGATGAAGTAGGTACAAGGATATATATTCATATATGTATGTAATTCCAATATATCACAGAATAAAAAAGTTTACAGAACCATATTTATATAAAATATTCTATGCACAGAGAGATATTTAGAACATGATATTTCCTCAATACTTAGTTCATTTTTTGAGCTTACTGCATGGTTTTAATTTCTTATAATAAGCACATAGTGTTTTACAAAAATAAGTTATTTAAATAATAAAAATGGTTAATATCATTATCTGCCCAAATGCGATGATGCCTAAATATCTAGTCTGACTGTAAATATGTCCTAGATGCAAGACAAACTGAAACGTTGCCTATTTTACAGAAACACATAAACCCACGTCATTAGGATAATAGCCATAGTGATAACTCAGAAATTTTATCTATTCCCGTTACAGGATACCTACAAATACGTTTTTTAAAGCTTCCTAACCTTCATGGGTTTTTAATAAAAGCTTCATTTAAGAACTCAGTGCAAAGACAGTTCATTACAACTGCCCCCAGGATATTGAGTTACTTTGATTCTTTCAAAATTAAGCATTCCAGGGACTCCTTCATCCTGTCCCAACTTGTCCTGCTGCTAGCTAGCTGCAAGGGCACGCTTTGCTGGGTGAAGAAAAGCATGTGGTTTCTTTTAAAAGATTTTGTGGGGCTTAATATCACTTTCTTAGATGAGGGTGCGAGGATATACCAAGAGGCAGGAAGATAAAGGAAAGTCACAGACTGCAACAAGTTGCTTTTATATAGAGATTGTGTGGAGGCTCCACCAAAGTCCAGACAGAATGAATTCACAATAAAGTGTTGGCATCATGTTAAAATGACAGCAACAGAAAGGAAAGTTTTCATTAAACTCAGACAAAAACAAAGTCTACCAAAAAGACACCAAACCAGATAACCACAGAGCAAGTGCCAGTGGATGGAATAAGCATGGATTCCTTCTGAACTTGGAATGAGAAGTGGTGATAATTCACCAAACCTTGCAATTGAGCAGATATTTGATATTCAGGAGAGTCTAAGGAGTTGCAGGAAAATGCAGAAGTGGGAAACAAGGATCTTTTCCTTACACCAAAAACATAGGAGGAGAGAAAAATGGGAGTTAAATGTCTGACTGGAAAAGAACTAGAAATTCGAGCAATACTCTAAGAGCGGAGAGGTAAGTGTGGCGTGTCCCTGGAGACTTCAGGAGCTGAGAGGACCAAAGATGGGCTCTGGGACTGAATATTTCTGAGCAGGAACTGCAAGGGCTGAGGAGAGAAGGTGCAGGGTAAACAACTTCCTTTCCTGAAGGGGCATTCCTGGATGAAGCCCAATTCAGGGTCCCCTCCCCCATCCAACATTTAACCTGAGAGGTATGGGGGCGCTGGGGGAGCCTTGCTAAGGCTGGCCATGTGGGAGGAGGGAGGGCTGCTTCCGAGAGGCAGGCCACAGCAAGGCAATGCTGGAGGGATCCGTGCTGTTACCATTTTCATGTCTAGGCTCCCCACTCCCCCTCCTCCCCTCCCCGCCACCACACACACACACACATTTAAGAGTCAATAAACTAAAGCTTAGACATGAGAAGCTAGCTGCCCAACATCTGAACTCTGATCTAACTCAGCAGTTCTCAAAACTTTTGATCTTGGGATTCCTTTACACTCTTAAAAATTATTGAAGAATCCAAACAGCTTCCATTTATGTGGGAGAGAGAGAGAGAGAGAGACTATGTATCTACCATATTGGAAATTTAAACTGAGCAACCGTTAAAACACAAGAATACAAAGTCATATATTCCTTTAGCTGTTAGAGCAATGATGTCATCACTCAACCTGTAGCCTCTAGAAAACTCCACTTACACTCATGAGATAGTAAGAGTGACAAAAACAAACAACAAATTAATAATATGATGAAAATAGTTTTGATCTTACAGATTCCCTGAAAGAATCTGAGTCCCCCCAGGGGTCTGAGATCACACTGTGAAAATTGCTCTTTTAACTTCAAGTCCTTGCTTTATTTTTGCAAGACCAGGCAGTGGTATACTCAGTGAATGACGTTCCCAATCTGGTTCTCAGCTCCCTTTACTGCCTCAACTCCCACAACATTTGCCACGTACTTCCAAACACCAGAACAAATCCTCTCCCTGTTTAAAAAAAAAAAAAATGCACTGTGAGTGCTCAAGCCTCTTTGAAGGTGCTGGTGATGTATCTTCTGTCTGGAACTGCTTCCTTCTCCTTCTAGAGAATCCCGCTATGAGATTTCTGGGCTCTAGTCTGTCACCCACCCCAGCCGCAGGCAGAACTGATCACCTGCCATGGACAGCACTTTGCTTTTCTCTCTACTTCATTTTACTGGATTCCATTTTTCCTTTGTGAGTTAGTAATGTGTCTGCCTTCCCTTCTTTCATCCGTCAGCCCCAAAATGAGCACCTGTCAGCAATGAACACCAAGAAGACCTCCAGGACCTGAGTTTCCCTAAGCTACTGGAACGAAGAAACTATAGTGGATGGATCTGCTTCCTCATTGCTGGCACCTGGACTTGTTCAAAACTATTTTATTTGCTTTGTCTAATTACTCTGAAATAATAAATTATCACTGGTGGATGGCACTGTGGGTGATATTGTTTTCTTTGTTCTTAACTGCAATACATTTTTATAGTTATAAATGTAATACAATGTTAAAATGTTTCTCTATAGCTTAGCCACTAATAATCAGGAAACATGTATGAAATGAACGGCTCTATGCACTTTATATACATATCAATGCTTTTAATTATTTATACTCTTAACAGCAAAAATAAGTAGAGGTGCAAATACCCAACCCGATTGCACAGGGATTCTTCCCACAGCCTGCACCGTATGGGCATATTCCACTGTTCCTGGTAACTTGCATATATTTGCACTATCTTAGCTTTATCTTCATGTCCCAAATGGAAGGTTCCACATCTTTGTGTCCCATTTCCTGAATTCCTCATGGGATATTGCTCATCTAATGGCCAGACGACATAGGATCTTAACATCTACATACAAACCTAGCTTCTTAACTCCGCAGCTCTCAATTAGCAAAATGTTCTCCTGGAAATAAATACATCTCTCGCTTGGCCACCAGGGAGCTGAATTAACTGGCTGCCTTGGTGAAGTTCAGTAAAACACTGACGGGGGGAATGTTCCCTGCAGATGGAATTCAAAATGGATTGTTTCATAAAGGATTTTTATCTCCTAGAATAACCAGAAAACAGTGTTTGAAGTGGTGACATGACACACTACTCATTACTAACAAAGGGCTTTCCGCCCCTCACGCAAAAACCCAACTACTCATTTCTGTGCGAATGCAGAAGCTTCTGCAGAAGGGAAGGGAAGGATGGGCCGGAGTTATTGTTTAATTGGCCGCATGCTGGATATAGGCTCTCTGCTCGGCTCCTGCTGTGCGGGTTACGATCAGTCCTGACGTGATCACGGCAGCAGACTACCCTCCGCCGGTCCCTCTCCCTCCGTGACACCATGCACCCACCCGCCCTGTCCCCTGGAAGGCCTGTGGTCCAGGCGGCATCTTCCCTCCAGAGGAGCCACAGCTTCTTCATTGACATTCAGGTAGCACTCCCATAAGCAAAGGCTGCAAAGTGTCATTAAAGTGGTGGGGAGACAAACAACACTCGTGCCGCATACCAAGTGGCACCACATTTAACTGAATCATTTTATTATGAATACATTCCAGGCTGCCACTGTGAGCCACTGGTGTAAAATAGGCCGGCAAAATGGATCTCTGCTAATTACATTTCATGCATATTTCAGAACTTTCCACGGGGATACGGGAGGCTGGCGTTCATAAAATAGAATTTTACAACCAGGTTCACTTGCATTTGGCATCAAGACGCAAATGAGCAAGTAACAAACAGAAGTTCAGTTACGTCGCATGTTTTGTTTGTTTCCACTGGAATATTGTAATTCCTTATAACTCTATCTGCGTCACCGTGGTCTCTGGCTGAAAATGAAATCCCTCTTCAAATCCACCTGAACACACATCCTTGCAGAAAAGCACAAGGTTATTAAATCGTTTCTTTCCCACAATTTTTTTTTTTTGTCTATATTGGTCCTCAGTTGCCTTAGGTTGAATTAAAGGAATGAGCCTCTGGCCCTGGAGACTTGTCAGGAGAGGGACAGAAAAGCATCATTACCTGCTTCAAGACCGAATTGTAAAGAACACAAGTGACTGCTGTCTTGTGGCTCTTCACCCTTGTGCTGGCCTCGCTTTTCATTGCCAACAATGCGAGCTGGTTATTAAATGAGATGAAAAGTCGTCCATGGGCTTCATCAAAGTGGAAGAGACATCTGAGGTCCTGACTTTTGGGAAAAGAACAAGCTATCCTCTGGATGGACAGCTGGTGCTGAATATCCCAGAGTCTCAAAACCTGGATAAAAAGTGATCAAGTCATATGAACATGTCAAGAACAATTGTCATTTTTTTAGCCAAAATTGTTTCTAGTTAATGCTCAACCCCAGGCAGATTTCCTCCACGGTGCTGTAATTGTTCCTACTTCTGTCATGGCACAGAGTTTTCTTGCATTTCCTTATCCATTTAAATGTCTTCTCACCTGTAATCTTCCCCAGGGAAGGACTGTGTTTTGTCTCAGTCCCCTGAAGAGTGCTGTATTTAGCAAGTACTTGTGGTAGGCAGAGTAATAGTCCCCCCAAATGTCCATGTCCTCCTCCCTGCAGTGTGTATGTTCTTTTGCATGAGTACAAGGGATTTTCCAGATGTGATAAATTAAGGACTTTGAGATGGAGAGATTACGGGTGAGTCCGATGTCGTCATAAGGGAGATTAGAGTGATGGGATGTGAGAAGGACTCTATCTAGTATTGCTGGCTTTGAAGATGGAGGAAGTGGGCTATGTGTCAAAGAGAAGGCAAGGAAAGGGACTCTCCCCCAGAGCTTCCAAAAGAGGAGCCCCTGCCAACACCCTGATTTTAGCTAAGCGAGACCCATGCTGGAATTCTAACCTGCAGAACACAAATACATTTGTGTTGTTTTAAACTACTGAGTTTGTGGTTGTTTGTCACATTAGCCAACTGAAAAGTAATATGGTCTCTCTCTAATATATTTAATACTCTCTATATAGTTATACATACACATGAATATATTATATCACTATATAGTATATAATACATATATACATATATATTTTATGTGTGTATGAAATAAAAGACTTGGTATTAAGTGAAATCAAGTTTACATAAACCTCAGACATTAGATTCTTATTCAAACACAGACAATCAAGACACAAAAAAGACATGCAGATGGCATGAGACAAGCTGAAGAAAACAGGAAGAGCTGCTTTGCAGGTGCACGTGTGGCTGCTGTCAGCCATGGTACGAAATTAGCACAGGCAGTGAGGGAGAGTCGGAAGGAAGACAGTGAAAAATTCCTCCAAAAGATGCTAACAGGCAAGTTCTAGGGCTAGACTTCTTGAGTTCTAATCTTGGTTCTGTCCCTTACTTTAGGGCTACCTCTAGCAACTTTCTTTGCCTCTCTGAGGTTTTGATGTAGTACCTACCTCATCCAGTGCTATGAAGACAGGAACCAGACCCCATGTCAAGCATTTAGCATGATGACCAGCATGTAATAGTGTTCAATAAATATTTTTATTATTAAATGCATTGTATTATGTTTTCATTGTGTAAATATTAGAACCAAAGAGGTTCTTTCAACTAAACCAGTCTATCTTATCCAATGTAAGAATTATTTCTCAATTATCTATAAAAAATGGTCTGTTTAGGGTGCCTGGGTGGCTCAGTTGGTTAAGCGACTGCCTTCGGCTCAGGTCATGATCCTGGAGTCCCAGGATCGAGTCCCGCATCGGGCTCCCTACTTGGCAGAGAGTCTGCTTCTCCCTCTGACCCTCCCCCATCTCATGTGCTTTCTCTCTCTCTCTCTCATATAAATAAATAAAATCTTTAAAAAAAAATGGTCTGTTTAAGTAAGTGTTTGTAACTCCAGAAGGCAGGCAACCCTGCAGTTCTCAATGTATTTTAAATCATATACTCTTTTGGGAAAATAAAATATGTCCAAAATGATGGTCTATCCCCTCCTAAATGCATATACCCATATATGTACACAATTTCGCATATAATTTTTTGGGTACATAGACATGCACAGCCTTCATACATAGGTACAGATCTTGGAAATCCACAGGATAGAAATCCCTACCATCAGAACTCACTCCATCATGGCAGGATCCTGATTCTCTCACTCTGTTTGCACTTTCTCTCCACGGAAGGGATCATCATTCAAATGTTTACTTTTAACACCATTGTTGCATTGATCCATGGACTAAAATCCAATAGTACTGGAGGGCTTTATTCTCAATCCACCTCTCTCAACCCCAGGTCCTACTCCTCAGAGACAGTCTTTTTTAATTTTTTTTTTTAATTTTTATTTATTTGGAGACAGCCTTCTTTAACCTTCCTGAGTTATAGATTTCTCCATAACACCAAATAATAGCAGTGTATGTATGTGTGTGTGTACATAGATTATATTGATCAAACGTGTGTATGTGCGTAACATATCATATATTGATCAAATGACTCTCTCCTTTGAAAGAAAAGAGGTTACTTACATTTTTTTTTCTCCTTTTTCATTCCTCCCAATCTAAACTTTTTTTCTGGTCCTATTGGCTGTGATACTTTAAAAAATATACTTATACATTAATTACTGCATTATCAATTTAAGACAGTATCTCTCTACTCATCAAAATGTAAGAATAACACTTGAAGAGCCTCAAGGACCTATGTTAAGCATGGTGCTCAGAATGGGATTAATATTTCAGGGGTGTCTAACCACTGTTAGAGGTTCTATGACTTCTTTAAACCATTTGTTTTTGCATTATGATTAAGTCACTCCATCATGAAATTTGTTTACCTTGAGGTTCTGACTATGAAAAGCTCTTAATATGAATCCCATGAGCAAATAATCAAGCCAGACATCTCAATCTTACCTTCAAATATCTGATGTATTAAGCCAAGACTAGGATTTTTCCTAATTTTGATTCAAAGTATGACAATGTAATTTTGAATCCTCATTCAATTATATTGACAATTCCTCCCTGATTTGTCTACATATCCCATGAGACATACTAGGTGTTCAATAGGTACCTTTCAAATCTGTTGAAGATTGTGGTTCACATAATAATATGTCTTTATGGGGCGCCTGGGTGGCTCAGTTGGTTAAGCGACTGCCTTCGGCTCAGGTCATGATCCTGGAGTCCCTGGATCGAGGCCCGCATCGGGCTCCCTGCTCGGCAGGGAGTCTGCTTCGCCCTCTGACCCTATCCCCTCTCATGTGTTCTTTCTCTCTCATTCTCTCTCTCAAATAAATAAATAAAATCTTTTTTAAAAATAATAATAATAATATGTCTTTATCCAGCTCATTGATGGAGATCATTAGCTAGGATAAAGTCCAAGAATACAGAACCCCGTAAAATCTTGCCTCACTTCTACATGGTTATTGCAGATTGCAGATCTCATATATTCCACAGATCTCATATAATCTACAATGACATTTTATGAAACTTTTTTGCAGATCCATATAATCCAATTTGCAGATCTCATATAATTGCAGATCTCATAAATCCACTTTGCAGATCTCATATAATTGCAGATCTCACATTGCAGATCTCATATAATCCACAATGACATTTTATGAAACTTTTTCAAACATCTTGTAGAAATAATTATGCTTGATGGATAGGGTAACCTCTCCATTTACCAACAATTATAACAAACTTAAAATGACCTAGTTAACCCCTGCCAGATAAACAGCATCACCAATCCTTCTAACTCCAAGAATATATGTTTATGAAGTAAATTGTTTTTTGTTTTTGGGGGGGAAAGAATTTTTCATTAAAGAATTCATTCTGGTTCTTAAACATTACTAAATTTTTTTTATTTAAAACATTCTGGCAACTCTCCCGAATGTGTTTTTCCTCAAAAATATAAATTCGACAAGAACTAAGACTTGCAAATATTTTTCAGCGTGTTCTAAATATAAATAGAATTGATAAACTGTTATTTTGAATGTGAAAGGCACAAGATTAGACACATCTAGATTATTTTCAAGCACTCATATTGCTTATAATAGTCATACCCTCATTGTTCAGATTCCTGTCTTGTTTTGTATGGATTCCCTTCTAAAAAGTAGAAACTAATTTCATGTCAGAATAATAATCTGGGGCATAGTTGAATATAGATTAATAATAACTCAACAGTATTAATGGACTATAATTTCCACAGAATCATTTTCCACTGTGTTGTTCAAATAATTTATATTGCCTTTAATATTTTATTGACATATAGTCACATAAATTAAATGAAAAATTAAAAATAGATGAGCAATAACCTCTAGTCTATGATAGGTTAGTTCTTGCTATTAGCAACTAGAAGTATGTTTTTTTATCAAAATGTGTATGTTCATTACTATTTCTTAAAATTATGGGGTTTTTTTGTTCTGCTTTCCCTTCTTCCTTCAAAGAACCCTAACTCTCTTAATTAGTGATCCATGATCCCAATAAGCCCCTTCCATCTTTAATTCTCTAATTTTTCTCTCCGCTGAGGATGAAAGCAACATTGATATATTAACATCAATGCACAAAACAGTGTTCCGGCACTCACCTAGAAATCATGTCACGGTATGTGACCTCGCACATGTTTTTCAGTTTTTTCTACACTACCACATTCTATATGAATGGTTTTTAACCTTGACATTAGAAACACCTACAGTACTTCAGAAATCACCTGTTTGGGCCCTTTTGCCAGGTCAATTAAATCAGAAACTCTAAGGATGGGGCTCAGGCATTAGTATATATGTATTTTTAATTTCCCAAGCATTTCCTTTGCATTGTACCTTGACTTCTCTACATGGTTTTAAGGCCAATGCTAATATCCTTGAACAAGAAATCTTTCTCTCAGCTTAATCAGTAATATCATGTGGCTTGGCTTTAAACCAGATAACTGTATTCTCCTTCTTTCCTAATCAGTCTTTATCCTTTTAATCATGAAAAAATCTCACATTAATTCAGTTTTATTAATCAAGTCCTTTGACAAAATGTAACTTAAATACCTAGTTAATATTTGAGAAGCATGGGTTCTTCTCTTTGATATTCAAGTTGACTTCTGGGATAGAATTAGGCCAGAGTTCAGAAAGAAGTATATTTAATATCAATTTTCATTCCAGATTCCTAGCGAGGTTTTCTTTATTCTTTGTAGGAAAAATAAATAAACTGACAAACACCTAAGCTTAAAAATCACAATAGAACAATTGATACTTTTTAATTTATATTATCCACAAATTTTGATCTAAACTGTACACTCTGTTTTCATCATAACTCAGAACTTGTGATGTCTGTCCAAGCTCAG